AAGGATCTCTTGTAAAGGTCCATCCCACAGTGGATCCTAAGAAAATGGCTGCAGATGCCGTCCGATCCGTCCACCCAGACTCGGCTGGCCTCTCGGTTCCCCCGGGCTGTAGGACCGCCTGAATGCCAGGCAGAACTCCTCCCAGTGCGATGGCCACTCCTCCCAGCAGTCTGCTGAGCTCCTCATCGCTGCGGACAGCCAGCTGTAGGTGCTGAGGGATGATCCTGTCCTTCCGCTGTCATGAGCCGTGTTTCCTGCTACTTCCAGGATCTCAGTGGTCAGACACTCGAGCACAGCTGGCAGGTAGATGAGAATGCATCCACAGAACATCCTTTTCAACTCATTTGAGATTTGTGGCTGTAGTTGAGATATTATTTGAGCTTTTGAGATGTTAATCAGCTGCTGTTGGTTGTAGAAAACTGCCTTGTTGCCATGGTGACGCATCAAAACAAATGTCCAAAACTAAAAAAGTTTCAGTAAAAATCCTTCCAGCTACACAGTGTCTGATACCAGAGTAAACAATCATCCAAAAAATGTGACTTACATCCAGAAAAAGATGAATTAAAGTTTCCAAAAGCAAAATGTCAGAATGAAAGTAACAGAACTGCTCCAACATGCAGCCACCTTGAGCAGTGCAATTCTAGAATCAGACCACACTTCAGCAAGTGTTGGACTGTACAGATCAGGCACGCTTAGCACAGCATGTCAAGTCCAAGACTCGACAACAAAACAAGTTTAACTTACTAATAACTCATCAACACATCACTATTCCAATAACAACACATTCAGTGTAGGACAACACTCCAGTAGTCAATTACATGCCAGGGAGACAGAAAAGTGGGTGAAGAATTTATCTGACAGACAGCTCACCCAGCCAGAGACAGAGATTCTTGCCAGGGGACTGAACTTTGCGGTTGCACCAAGTAGAATTCCTCTGGTGGAGATTATCACAGCCACAGGATCAGCCATCCACAACAACAAAATGAAGCAGAACAGCTCAGAATCAAAGTTTCATCCTGCCTCAGCAATGCCAAACCACCACCTTCCAACATCAGTAGAGAGGAGAAGGATGCACTCACCACTCTTAGCAAGGACAAAAACAACATCATTCTCCCAGCAGACAAAGGAAGGTGCACAGTGATTTTGAACCAGAAAGACTATCATGAGAAAGTTATGACACTCCTTAGTGACTTAACCACTTATGAACCTCTGAAAAGAGATCCAGGAAGAGTCAGAGTCAGAGTTTCTTTATTGTCATTCGCACCTCATGTGGTACATGTGGTGGAGCGAAATTATGTACACAGGGTCCCAGTTACATCCAACAATAAAATGTATAAGAAAAACAGTAATAACATCTAAGATATGAACTAAGAAAAACATCAACTAAATATACACTAAGCACTCATAACATAAAAAGTGGTTACAAGGAGAAGTTAATAGATTGCCTGAAAAATTTGGAGCAGGACAAGGCTATTGACTGTATTCTGTACCACAGACTGTACCCAGGGGAGGCCACACCTAGTCTGTATGGTTTACCTAAAATCCACAAACAAGGTGTACCTTTAAGACCTATTGTTAGCATGATTAACTCTGTCACTTACAATGTTTCCAAATATCTGGCGTCTGTACTCATCCCTTTAGTTGGCAGCTCAGAACACCACATACAGAACACCATGGACTTTGTGGATAAGGTGAGGGATGTCACTGATGTGTTTGTGGTACACCTCAGTTTGCAAATGTCCTCTATCAGAGACTGAGACCTCACAGTCCAAGAAAGCCAGCCTGCCATTTTTTTCATCTTCTCATGTGAACTTGATGTATTTATCCACAGAGTTGATGTGGTCAGTAAAATGTTGGACTTCCTGAGATTTGATTTTAACCCAGATGTCGTCAACATACCTGAACCAATGACTTGGTGGTGTCCCTGAAAAGGACGTCAAGGCTCTCTTTTCTACCTCCTCCATGTACAGGTTGGCAACAATAGGAGAAACTGGAGACCCCATAGCACACCCATGTTTCTGCCTATAATATTGCTCCCCATATGTGAAGTAGGTGGACTGCAGGCACAGTTTCAAGAGTTGACACAGTTGTTCTGTGGAAAGCTTGGTCCTGCTGCTCAGAGTGGTGTCTGATTTTAATTTTAAACTGACCACCTCTACTGCATCATCAACAGGAATGCACGTAAAGTGTGATGTGACATCAAAAGAGACCATTGTTTCATCAGTCTCCATGATGACATCCCTCACCTTGTCCACAAAGTCCATGGTGTTCTGTATGGGGTGTTCTGAGCTGCCAACTAAAGGGATGAGTACAGACGCCAGATATTTGGAAACATTGTAAGTGACCGAGTTAATCATGCTAACAATTGGTCTTAAAGGTACACCCTGTTTGTGGATTTTAGGTAAACCATGCAGACTAGGTGTGGCCTCCCCTGGGTACAGTCTGTGGTACAGAAAACGGTCAATAGCCTTGTCCTGCTCCAAAATTTTCAGGCAATCTATTAACTTTTTCTTGTAACCACTTCCTGGATCTCTTTTCAGAGGTTCATAAGTGTTTAAGTCACTAAGGAGTGTCATAACTTTCTCATGATAGTCTTTCTGGTTCAAAATCACTGTGCACCTTCCTTTGTCTGCTGGGAGAATGATGATGTTTTTGTCCTTGCTAAGAGTGGTGAGTGCATCCCTCTCCTCTTTACTGATGTTGGAAGGTGGTGGTTTAGCATTGCTGAAGCAGGCTGAAACTTTGATTCTGAGCTGTTCTGCTTCAGCCTCTTTAATTTTGTTGTTGCGGATGGCTGACTCAGTAGCTGTGATCATCTCCACCAGAGGAATTCTACTTGGTGCAACCGCAAAGTTCAGTCCCCTGGCAAGAATCTCTGTCTCTGGCTGGGTGAGCTGTCTGTCAGATATCTTTCAGGGATGAAGATGTTCACATCCTGGACAGAGAGGAACGATGGTTTGAGAGAGGAGAAAAGGAGGCCATCTTTGTGAAAAGAAATCGTCCATCATTAAACAGGGGTGGAGGTCTCCGGGTTCAACTGTCCCCCTCTTACAATGCTGTGATTGCTAGTATCACTCAGCCCTCTGTGAACAGTAAACAGCCATCAGTGTGCTAATGATCCATTGTTAGGCTGATGGTCCGTCTTGAGCATGTGATCAGCTGGTTTTGGTTGTCAGCAGCAAAACTGGTTGATCCACTCTGAGACGGTGCTATTTAAGAGACTGAGCTGAATACAGCTCCTCAGACTGAGGAAGTCTCTCGGATGAGAGACGAAACGTTTCTACATTTTTTTGTTGATTTGCTTTGTTTTGTTTTTTTGAATGTCCAGAGGACCAGATTGAACTTTTTTGGATAATGTCCCAGTGGCTTTTAAACCCCAAAATACATTACGGCAAAGACTGGTTCATCCCAAAGATCCAGTCCCCCGGCACAAGCAGAGTAATATTGTGTATGCTGTTCAGTGTCAGGAGGGCTGTGATCAGTCTTACATCAGGGAAACTAAACAGCCACTGGCCAAAAGGATGGACCAGCACAGAAGATCAACATCATCAGGGCAGGATTCTGCAGTCTACACTCATCTCCAGGCCAGCGGTCACACTTTCAGGGATGAAGATGTTCACATCCTGGACAGAGAGGAACGATGGTTTGAGAGAGGAGCAAAGGAGGCTATCTTTGTGAAAAGAAATCGTCCATCATTAAACAGGGGTGGAGGCCTCCGGGTTCAACTGTCCCCCTCTTACACTGCTGTTATTGCTAGTATCACTCAACCCCCTGTG